TCGGCACAACCGAACCGGTCTCCAAAGTTAACCGTTGGCGTTGACCACCGTGATGCGCACCGCCAAGTGCACGGCTCAAGGTCAATCCGGGTACCCTGGGTAGTTAGCCGCATCCGAATGGCGTATGAACTGCCCCTCCCCCAGTCACGCGCTCCCAGAGGATCGTGGACTCTCTACTCCACCCCACTGTCGTGTGGGTCAGGTTCTTTAACCAAAGGCTCCGGGTAGGATACCCCAAGAAAACCTACCTCGGCCTGGGCAACCGGGTATTACAACGCCCAAAAGCCAACCATGGATCTATGAACATGCATATTCACGCATGTCACAGAATCTTAGACTTCTACAGAGTTATCCATCAAAGTCCGCAAGCAACACTTCTACTCGCCCCCCCCCTCACACAATACCCCAATTTTTTCCACTGTTTGTTCCACTCGAAACGGTTCCACTGACGTGGCGTGAAACCCAGCCTGCTCCTCACGCGTAGCGTACAATCGGCGGAGAATGACGGACGCCAACAGCTTTGACGCTATTGCGATAAGGCTTATACCTCCATGATTGGCGCAGTCACTGCATGGGCCCTTTTTGAAGATGGGGACGACAACCGATTCCACCCACTAGGAGGGAACCTGCTCAGTGTTCCAAACTTTAGAGAACAGAACTTGTAGTTCTCTAACAAGCTTACTTTCACCATTTTTAAATAGGGCTGGAGAAAGGCCATCGGAGCCCGGCTCTTTGTGACTTCCCAAGGCTTGGATCTCCTTACGAATTTCCGCCTCAGGAAGTGGGTCTGTTGAGACAGACCGTAGGACGTGTGCCGGAATAGCTATGTGAGTAGCTGACGTTGGTGGCTTTGAAGTGCTCCGCCCAGCGTACAACGCGTCGCTGTTGGTTGTGAATGGGCGAGCCGTCAGCTTCGGAGATCGTTTCGTTCACACCCAAACCTTTCCTGCCGTTGATCCGGATGAGATGGAACAGCTTACGGGAACTACCCATGGCGGCAGCACGTTCTCTGCAGAGATCCAGGGTGTCACGGAGCGACGTGTCAAACCACAACTAAGTCAGCAGAATGCAGAGCATTCTTGATAAGCGACCAGTGCTGGTTAACGTCATCGGGTGGGGTTGGTTCTAACTCTGCAGCTAGTGCGTTTTGGAAGACAGTTAGATAAGGTGGTTTGGACCGCTTATCACAGTCTAACCGTCGTTGTATCGTGCGTTTAGGACGCCCACCGAAGCAAATAGACAGCTTGGCGTAAACTAACGCGTGGTCGGATTCGAGGGGAGTGCTCTAGTACGATCGGCAGTCTTGAATGCAGCCCCGCCATTTGTGNTTATCACGATGTGGTCGATCTGCATCCGTCTCTGACTCGAGGAGGGCGGACGCCAAGTGGCGTACCGGCAGTTGGAGCGTCTGAAGTTCGTACTGGCAAGGAATAGGCGGTGGTCGGAACACGAAGCCAACAGTCGCTCCCCGTTTTCCATGCGACAGGAATCTGGTCCCAAAGGACCTCCCTGGTGCGCCTCATTCGAAGTCAACCGGCCTACTCTAGCATTCATATATCCTGCTAAAATCATGATATCAGC